TATTGAAGAAATAAATCACAACACATAATGACTATACGCGTGCATTGTTCTTTATCTTGTCACCTAAGTGCAGAACATGAGTGCATATACTTTGAAAAATGGCAGAGGGACAGTTGTATTAATAGAACAGGCCCAGGTCATATTTTAAATGAGCCATTTTCAACTGCTCTCTCTCTAGTCAGTAAATCATAACTGGCGGAATAAATCGACTCTAGACAGGAAGCTGTTTCAGGCAGTAGTATATGTATATATGTGTGTGTGTGTGAGCACTTGTATTTTTCCACCTGATATCAGTCAGAAATGATAGAATTAATGTAAGCCATGTGGCAGAATGGGAGAAACAGGAATTACTGTTATAGGAAATAAATGTCTTATCCATTAAGTCCTAGCTGCTGAAAAACTAAGTTTAGTCTTAATTGTGTGAGCAGTCTCATCACAGATTTCTGTATAATGATCTTTTTCTTTCCTCTAAATGATAACTGCTTTAGTGTTTATGTGTTTTTCTGTTTTTGGCTGCACCATGTGGCATGTAGGGTAGTAGTTCCCTGATCAGGGATCAAACCCATGTCCCCGGCTCTGGGAGCATGGAATCTTAACCACTGGACTGCTAGGGAAGTCCCTAGCTCTGTTATTTTTTGATATGTATATTCCAGAGTTGTTTCTATGAGTATATAAACTCATGCTAACTTAAAAATAGGATCACATGCTACATCTTGTTTTCTAACTTGTGTTTTATAAACATCCTTTTAAGTCAGTATGAAAGTGGAAAGTGAAAGTGAAAGTCACTCAGTCGTTCCTGTCTGACTCTTTGCGACCCCATGGACTATATATAGTCCATGGAATTCTCCAGACCAGATTACTGGAGTGGGTAGCCTTTCCCTTCTCCAGGGGATCTTCCCAACCCATGGATCAAACCCAGGTCTCCTGCATTGCAGGCAGATTCTTTACCAGCTGAGCCATAAGGGAAGCCGAAGAATACTGGAGTGGGTAGCCTATCCCTTCTCTAGCAGATCTTCCTGACCCAGGAATTGAACCGGGGTCTCCTGCCTTGCAGGCAGATTCTTTACCAAGCTATCAAGGAAGCCCTGAGTCAGTATATCTTAAGTTTATAAAGATTCTAGAGTCAGGCAACTTAAATTCCAGTATAGGTAGACTTCATCACTTGGTAGTCTTCATCACTATTTGTTTGGGCTTAAGCCTTTTTTAAGCTTATTCTTCAGAAGATTATTATAAGTTTACATGATAAAGTTAGCTTAAAACTCAACATTCAGAAAACTAAGATCATGGCATCTGGTCCCATCACTTCATGGCAAATAGATGGGGAAACTGGAAACAGTGACAGACTTCATTTTTTTGGGCTCCAAAATCACTGCAGATCGTGACTGCAGCCGTAAAGTTAAAAGACCTTTACTTCTTGGTAGAACAGTTACGACCAACCTAGACAGCATGTTAAAAAGCAGAAACATTACTTTGCCAACAAAGGTCTTTCTAGTCAAAGCTGTGGTTTTCTAGTAGTTATGTTGGATGTGAGAGTTGGGCTATAAAGAAAGCTGAGCGCCAAAGAATTGATGCTTTTGAACTGTGGTGTTGGAGAAGACTCTTGAGAGTCCCTTGGACTGAAAGGAGATCCAACCAGTCCATCCTGAAGGAGATCAGTCCTGGGTGTTCATTGGAAGGACTGATGTTGAAGCTGAAACTCCAATACTTTGGCCACCTGATACAAAGAGCTGACTCATCTGAAAAGACCCTGATGCTGGGAAAGATTGAGGGCAGGAGGAGAAGGGGACGACAGAGGATGAGATGGTTGGATGGCACCACTGACTCAGTGGACATGGGTTTGAGTAAACTCAGTGGACATGGGTTTGAGTAAACTCAACGGTCATGAGTTTGAGTAAACTCTGGGAGTTGGTGATGATCAGGGAAGCCTGGCGTGCTTCAGTCCATGGGGTTGCAAAGAGTTGGACATGACTGAGCGATTGAACTGAACTGAACTTACACGATAATTCATGAATCCTCTTAACTGCTAAGCAATGTTAGGTGCACATTAAGAGCTTTACAGTCAGTTTCTAGGTGTAAAATAACAAGGTTCAAAGATAAAGAGGTTTTAAGTGTTGATAACGGTTGCCAAACTATTATTCAGAAAAAAAATACCGGTTTATCTGTTTACCAACAAAGTGTTCCTTGTCTTTGCATTGTTATTCTAATTTTTGTCAACGTGGTAGATTAAAAACTGGCAGAACTGAAAAGGAGACAAATCTACAAATATAATTTGGGATATTTTAGCATAACTGAGTAATTATTAATAGAATACTATTCATAATTATTATTTATAGTAGAACAACTACATACTCTTAGATTATTATACAAAAGACTTCTGTGTAAAGATGGATGAGTGAAGGATGCATTGGCTTTTACTCCCCTCCAAAGCCTACCAAGATTACCATATAGAATTATTTTTTATAGATTTGAACTATACAGGTAAAGAAAATGGAAGAAGCAATGAAATTTGGAAGCTGGAAAGCAACAGACTGATAGAAACATCTTCAGTTCAGTTGCTCAGTTGTGTCTAACTCTGTGACACCATGAACCACAGCATGCCAGGCCTCCCTGTCCATCACCAACTCCTGGAGTCCACCCAAACTTATGTCCCATCGAGTTGGTGATGCCATCCAACCATCTCATCCTCTGTCGTCCCCGTCTTCTCCTGCCCTCAATCTTTCCCAGCATCAGGGTCTTTTCAGATGAGTCAGCTCTTCGCATCAGGTGGCCAAAGTATTGGAGTTTCAGCTTCAGCATCAGTCCTTCCAATGAACACCCAGGACTGATCTCCTTTAGGATGGACTGGTTGGATCTCCTTGCAGTCCAAGGGACTCTCAAGAGTCTTCTCCAATACCACAGTTCAAAAGCATCAATTCTTGGGCACTCAGCTTTCTTTATAGTCCAACTCTCACATCCGTACATGACTACTGGAGAAACCATAGCCTTGACTAGTCGGACCTTTGTTGACAAAGTAGTCTCTGCTTTTTAACATGCTGTCTAGGTTGGGTTAAGAAACATCTTAGTAGACTTAAAAATGTTCAGTCCTAAACTGGAAGTGGGAAAATGGAAAAGAATCCTTAGGCTCAGGAATTCGTATCATCAGGTATTCTTGTGGAAGAAGGAGGCAAGAGTAGTACTAAAAATAGGATTATTTGAAAACCTGTTTAAGGAGCCAGCTCAGTCAATTCTAATAGCCAAAAAAGTAGAAACAGCCCAAATGTCCATCACCTGATAAATGGTAAGTAAAATGCATATTATAATAAAAATAGTGAGGGACTCATACATGTTGTAACATGAATGAACCTTAACAATATGCTTATGTGAGAGAAGCCAGTCACAAAAGACCACATATTATGTGATTCTATTTTGTATGAAATGTCTTGAAAATACAAATCTATAGAGATACGGAGTAAATTAGTGGTAGCCTAGGACTGGGAATTGGGGAGATAAGAGGGAGATGGGAAATGACTGCTCAAGGGTACAGATTTCTTTTTGGTGTAATGAAAATGTTCTAAAACTGTGATGGTTACACAACTGAATATACTAAAATCATTGCATTGTATGCTTTAAATTGGTCACTTGTATAGTATTTGAGTTATATCTCAGTAAGCTGCTATTTACAAAAAAAGGCAGCATGAGCCTAGATATATTTGTACGGCTAAGTGACTGCCCTCTTTACTACCTCAGCAGAAGACTGAAGGTTTATCCTCTACAGTGGATAAAATGCAGTGTCTCAGAGAAGGATAGATACTAGATATAATTGAAGACCAGGTATCCTACAGAGAACACACTTGGGTTATGTAAATGTGCTCAATGTTAGAACCTTATTGAAGTCTCTTCTCTTGGGGGCCCAGAATCTTGACAGTCAAGTAGGAACTTAGAGCAGGGGTCCCAAGCCTCCAGGATCTAATGCTTGATGATTTGAGGTGAAGCTGATGTAATAATAATAGGAATAAAGTGCACAGTAAATGTAATGCACTTAAATAATCCTGAAACTATACCTGATCCATGGAAAAATAGTCTTCCATGCAATCAGTCCCTGGTGCTAAAAAGGTTGGGGACTGCTGACTTAGAGGATGATTCTTGGTAGAACCAAGAAGAAAAACTCTTTAAGTTATACACAGTCAGTTTTTAGGGCCCAGCTTTTAAATATGAACAAGTCAAGGATTACCAGGTTAATGAGAAAAACTTTTTTAATACAGGAGACCAAAACAAATAGAAAAAAAGAATTTGGAGCAATGAGAGCAAAAAAAAAAGTTCTTGAAAATTAGAGGGTAGTAGCAAGAAGAAAACACTCTAGAAGAATAGAAGTTAAAGTAGAAGCAAGTGCAAGTCAGTCAGTCCTGTCTGACTCTTTGCGACCCCATGGACTGTCCACCTCCTCTGTCCATGTCCATTCTCCAGGCGAGAATACTGGAGTGGCTTGTGTGCCCTCTTCCAGGGGATCTTCCCGACGCAGGGATTGAAGCCAACTTTCCTGCATTGCAGGTGGATTCTTTCCTGTCTGAGCCACCAGGGAAGCCTGGAGTAGACCTTGGATAAAGTAGAGGAAAAGATGGAAAGCAGATGAAAAGAAAACAGCAATACAATTCAAACATCGGCCCAGGAGATCAACTTCCAAGTAACAAAAATGCTGGTAAGAGAACAGTGTAGAGAAGAAATATTCATGAAATATTTAAAAAAAAAAAAAAAAAACCCAGAGCATTCAGGAACATCATTTTGCATTGTGAGAGATCCTCTGAGTACTCAAGGAAAATGAATGAAAAAAGAACAGCAATACAATTCAAACATCGGCCCAGGAGATCAACTTCCAAGTAACAAAAATGCTGGTAAGAGAACAGTGTAGAGAAGAAATATTCATGAAATATTTAAAAAAAAAAAAAAAAAAAAAAACCCAGAGCATTCAGGAACATCATTTTGCATTGTGAGAGATCCTCTGAGTACTCAAGGAAAATGAATGAAAAAAGTGCCCTGACTGCGTGCAGGCTGAACCAGTCGTACGAGAGGGGCTGAAGCATGTTGGTGAAGGATGTGTGTTCACCTACTGCCAAGTAGGAGAAAAACCTTATTGGAAAGATCCAAATAATGACTTCAGGAAAAACCTGAAATTAACTGCAGTGCCTACACTACTTAGGTATGGAACACCTCAAAAACTGGTAGAATCTGAGTGTCTTCAGGCCAACCTTGTGGAGATGTTGTTTTCTGAAGATTAAGATTTGCTGATGGCAAATTGTGTCTATTTCCAAATTTGCTCTACTATAAAAGAAACTGTATGTCTGCTTTGAATTCATGTTAACAATAAGTAAATTAATCAAGGATGATGTAAAAGAAATTGGTATATATCTAAATATTAGAGCACTATTAAAATGCTCCTGAACCCTCAAAAAAAAGAAAAAAGATAAATGTACTTGGAATCAGTGTCTAGTCAGGAAAATGAAGACCATACTACTTACAACAGAATTTTATAATACAAAGAATTGTTTAGCCGTACATAATGGGTTAAGTTGTATCCCTGCAAAATGATATTTGAAGTCCAACCTACAGTACCTCAGAATGTGTCCTTACTTGAAAAGAGGCTTCAGAGGTAATCAAGTAAGAAGGTAAGGTCATAGAGTGTCTTTTAAGCAAGTATGACTGGTGTTGGATTTTTTTTTTTTCTTGGATGTAGACTATTTTTAAAGTTTTTACTGGATTTGTTACAATATTGCTTCTGTTTCGTGTTTTGGATTTTTGGCTGCAAAGCATGTGGAATCTTGGTTCCCTGACCATGGATTGAAGCAGCACCCCTACACAGAAAGGCAAAGTCTCAACCGCTGGACTACCACGGAAGTCCCAACTGGTGTTCTTTAAAAACAGTTGGGAAATTTAGACATAAATCTGGACACAGGTATGCATAGAGGGAAGATGGCTTACAAGCCAAGGAATGCCTGCCTTGTAGAAGCTAGGAGAGAGTCCTAAAACAGATGATTCTTAGTACGTTCAGACAGAGCATGGCCAATACTTTGAGTTTAGACTTGTGGCCTCTACAACTGTGAGAAGGATTTCTGTTGGAAGCCAGTCTAGTTTGTGTTACTTTGTTACAGCAGCCCTCAGAAACTAATAGACTAGGTAATTAAGAGGGCTGAAAAGGCAATAAGGGAACTTTCAGATACCACAAAGATAATTAACTGTAGGAAGTAATTTCTAGCCTGCCCTTAGGTTTGGGAGAACAGAGAGATTGGAATTATAAGAAATATTGAAGAGTGGCCCTGAGGCACTGGAACTCAAACTTCTAAGAAATTGCTGTGTGATCAGGAAGTAAAAATATTTTAGGAGACTTGATGAGGTTGATCTGGAAATGGCAGGAGAAACATAAAACTTGTTAACCGAAACCAGTTGCTGATAATAGAATAATTGCTATTGCCAGAGTTAAGGTTGACGGTTGATAGTGAGCTGAAGGAGTATCTCCCTATTTCCTCCTTCAGTCTTCCAGTGTCTTGCTAGTGTTCCCTTGGGCAGAGTCTTAACAGGAAGCCAGCTAGCAAAGAAATGTGGTTTGCAGGGTTCCAGCCCCTACAGAGCAGACTAGTGAAGAGTAGGTTTGAACTCTGGGACAATAGCTTACTAACCAACAGACAGTGAAGTATGTTATTGTGAAAGTTTGGCATACATGGGCCAAAGAATATCTGTAAACTTCCAGAGGGGGGAGAAATGGGTCTCTCAACTTCAGAGATTGAGTATTCTCAACTGCAACCTCTCAAGTCAGAAGACAGTGAGCAGTGCCCTCAAATTCTGGAGGAAAATTATTTCCAAGCTAGAATTCTTTACCCAGCCAAATTATTGCACACAAGTATAGAATGTAGACATATTAAGTCATGCAAGGTTTCCAAATATTTCTCTCACTAATGAAATTGTATGATTTGCTCCACCCACCAAAAGGAAGGAGTAAACGTCAATGAGAGAAGAAGGTGAGCAATATAGAAGCAGGAAATAAAATTCTAAAGGGACACGTGGGATCCTTAAGGTGATAAAGAGAATTCCCTTAATGCTAACTGATTGCTAAGTGAAAGAGCAGTGAGTCTGGATTTGAATGGGTGAGAAGGCCCTTGTAGTTTTATGACGATGAAACTGTTAGAATACCTTGTGTCTGTATCTCTTAATTTAGGCAGTCGGCAAAGAGTTTGAAGTTGATTTAGTGATATCTTTTGCTTACTTAGTTGAAGCCTAAGAGCTTCATTTTAAGAGCTGGAGTTTAGAGCTCCATTCTGAAATTACTTTTCTTGTACTGACCCTTAGTTTAATCATGTCGTGTGATTATACATAGTATTGGTATGTGGTTGATTCACAAATTTATGTCTATGCAAGACCTCTGCTCCAAGGTCCAGAGTCATAGATTATATCCATTATCTATTACTTTGTAAATGCCACTCCAAAACTGAGTGGTTTAAAACAATGATCATTTTATTTTGTTCATAGGTCCATGTTTAGGCAGGACTTGGGTAGAGATGGCTTGTCTCTGTTCCGTGAGATATCATCTAAAGGTGGCTTATTCATGTTGCTGACAAGTTCATAATAGTTGATTGGGAGTTCTGTGGCTGGCTATGGGTTGGGGACCTTGTTTCCTCTCCTATTACCTAGGGCTGTTTTGGCTTCATCATAGCGTGGTGGCTGGGCTCCAGGAACAGGCATTTTTAGAGTGTCCAGCAGAAGCTCTGACAGTTTTTATTATGACAGCCTTGGAAGTCATGTAGCTTCACTTCTGCATAGTAATAAGTGTACCAGTGTTCAAGGCTAGGGAAAGTGACTGTCTCCTCCTCCCTCCCCCCCATTAAGAGGCAGTGTCTAAATCATAGAGAATCATGCAGTATTGAAGATACTGTTTCAACCATCTTTGGAAAATACAGTATGCCACATATATCAAACTGTTTCCTTGCTATTGCCACTTGTATATCTTAGAGATTTTGAACTTAAAACAATTAAAATGAATTCTTGATTTCTTACTCTTATTTTTTTTTCCATTTATTTTTATTAGTTGGAGGCTAATTACTTTACATCATTACAGTAGTTTTTGTCATACATTGAAATGAATTATCCATGGATTTACATGTATTCCCCATCCCGGTCCCCCCTCCCACCTCCCTCTCCACCCGATCCCTCTGGGTCTTCCCAGTGCACCAGGCCCGAGCACTTGTCTCATGCATCCAACCTGGGCTGGTGATCTGTTTCACCCTAGATAATATACATGTTTCGATGCTGTTCTCTTGAAACATCCCACCCTCGCCTTCTCCCAGAGTCCACAAGTCTGTTCTATACATCTGTGTCTCTTTTTCTGTTTTGCATATAGGGTTATCGTTACCATCTTTCTAAAGTCCATATATATGTGTTAGTATACTGTAATGGTCTTTATCTTTCTGGCTTACTTCACTCTGTATAATGGGCTCCAGTTTCATCCATCTCATTAGAACTGATTCAAATGAATTCTTTTTAATGGCTGAGTAATATTCCATGGTGTATATGTACCACAGCTTTCTCATCCATTCGTCTGCTGATGGGCATCTGGGTTGCTTCCATGTCCTGGCTATTATAAACAGTGCTGCGATGAATATTGGGGTGCACGTGTCTCTTTCAGTCTGGTTTCCTCAGTGTGTATGCCCAGGAGTGGGATAGCTGGGTCATATGGCAGTTCTGTTTCTTACTCTTAAACTTAAATTTCTTACTCTTAAACAGATTTCTTACTCTTAAACTGCACCCTTTCCCTTCTTTCCTCCATTAGTCCATTCCTGTCTTTCTCATTTCATTAAATGGTATTGCCATTCACCCAGTAGCTTGCTTTCTGTACTTCCCTTACTTCTAATCCCTCCTGTCTCTTCGAACTCCAAATACATCTTGAATTCTTCTATTCTGTATCTACACAGTCACCAGAACATTAAAGTCCAGGCTACCAAGCCACCATCATCATTTCACTTGGACTCCTGTCAGTATTTATTTGAGATATGATTAACATTTTATTAGTTTCAGGTATGCCATGTAATGATTCATGTCTTTTAAAAAAATTGTGCTAAAATGTGCATAACAAAATTTACCTTTCTAACCAGTTTTAAGTGTATATAGTTCAGTATTGTTAAGTAAATTCACGTTGTGCAACCAATCTCCAGAATTTTTCTGCGTTGCAAAAACAAACCACTGCACTTACTAAACAACTTGCCATTCACCCATTCCCCCAATGTCTGGCACCACCATTCTCCTTTCTGGTTCTTTTTCTGTTTGTTTGCTCTCATGTAAGTGGAATTGCTGGCATTTTTTTTTTTTTTTTAATGGCTGCATTATTTCACTTAACATGGTCTTCATGTGCAAAATTTTCTTCCTTTTTAAGGCTGATAATACTCCATTGAATATATATACCACATATTGTTTATCCATCTGTTCATGGACACTTAGTTTGCTTCCACTTTCGGCTATTATAAATAATGAAGCTGTGAACATGAATGTACAAATGCCTGTTCAAGTCTCTTCAGAAATTGCTGGACCACATGATAATTCTCTGATTTTTTGAGAAACTGCAGTACTTTCTTATGAGGAACTATCATTCCTCCCTCCCTTCCTTCACTCCTTTCTTGATAGTAGCTATCCTAATGGATATGAGGTGATACCTCATTGTGGTTTTGATTGTTGTTTTCCTAATGATTCATGATGTTGAGCACCTTTTCATGTGCTTGTTGGTCATCTGTATATATTTAGTTGTTGTTGTTAACTCACTAAGTCCTGTCTGACTCTTTGCGACCCTACCCCATGCTCTGCAGAATGCCAGGCTCCTCTGTCCTTCACTATCTCCCTGAGTTTGTTCATATTCATGTCCATTGAGTCAGTGATGCTATTTAACCATCTCATCCTCTGTCTCTCCCTTCTTTTATCTTTAGAGAAATGTCTGTATAAGTATTGTATTTAAAATTTTTGTTGGTGAGTCTTAACTAGTCTAATGGACCAGTTTATATTTCTACTGTTTTATTTTTTCCTTTAACTAATTTTTTACCAGTAGTCAAAGAATGGTTTTTAAGATTTCTGTATTAATTGTGATATGCTAACAGCTCTATTAAGCAAAAAATCTTAAGTAGCTTAACATGATGGAAGTTTATATTACTTTCTCATGTCAGTCTACTGTGTATGTGTTTCGGAGGAGCTGTTACTAAATCATGCCTGACTCTTTTGCGACCCCATGGACTGTAGCCTGCCAGGCTCCTCTGTCCTTGGGATTTCCCAGGCAAGAATACTGGAATGGGTTGCCATTTCCTTCTCCAAGGGATCTTCCCAACCAAAGACGCAAACCCACATTTCCTGCATTGGCAGGTGAATTCTCTACCACTGAGCCGCTAGGGCAGCCCCTGTGTGAATAGAGGAGGAGTGGGGCTACCTC